TCCTGGACCGGGGCACGAACCCGTGTCCCCTGCATCGGCAGGCAGACTCTCAACCACTGCGCCACCAGGGAAGCCCCTGTGATCACAATTTTAAAGACAGTATTTTAACATCCTGCATAGGAATGTCTCCTGCAGGTTACGTCTATTATCTGGTTGTACAGTGAATGAAGAACTAACAGAAAAGGTCAGCAGGCCTTCCTACCTTTAACCTATTCCAAAGCTACCACCTTTCAGTTCTAAGAGGTACAATTCTTAGTTCTAGAACCAACCCTGTGTTAATCTTTCAATTAGGAAAAGAAAGGATTAAAGTAGCAAAAAATAAAATAAAATACATCAAGGTCCCAATTTCATGGCCATGTTAACTTCCTAATAGGACTAGGGGAAACATGTATCCACTTTACTATTAATAATAGCTTATACGTGAGTTCATATAAAGTGCCACACACTGTTTTCAGTGCTCTTCCTGCATTAACTTATTTTAGCTACATAGTAGCACGTACTTCGTAGGGATTCTATTTCCTTCCTTTTACACATGAGGAGTTGGAAGCACTGGGAGGTTGTTTAAAGGACGTACCCAGGGAGGGCTGCCCCAATAGCTCAGCCTCAGCAAGGCAGCGGGAGATCTTGGCTATCTGGTCTACCTCTCCAGCCATATACATTCATACTCTTCCTCATGTTCCAAACCCTAGTCATACTGAATTGCTTAGGATCCTTCATAAACAGTGTGCTTTAACTGCACCCACACCCTACCCGTTCTTGCCTTTGCACGTGGCTTTTCTCTCTCTCCCTGAACCATCCTCTCTTTCCAATGGACAGGAAGTTTTATTCCATGAATGAATGAACATAAGACTGTTGGAAAAATCCATCACTATATTTAACATCGAAGAGTTGCTTTGGTAGGAAATTCCAAAGTTTTCTCCATAACAAGCCATTCTTGCAAAGCTGTTCTTATCTCAAAGCCAGAATTGCCTACACAGATTGCCTGGGGTCCTCTTTCTTCTGATCTCCCTGACTCTCCCACCACCTTACCTACTTCATCCCTTGCCTCCGGCTCCAGCCTTCAGGAAACATGTCTCCACAGTGACCTTCGGCCACTGACAAAGAGATTGGCCTGGGAGTTTGAAGACCTCCATTCAACAGCTGTCTACCCCTTCACCTCAGGACTCCATTTCAGGGGAAGAGCACGTACTTTGGTTCTCAAACCATTTTCACTGTATCCAAAACTAGCCGTTGGGCTTGGTGATAAGACACCCACAAGGAACACACCTTATCCAAGCCATGATGTGAGGGCACTGGTCTGACACTGCACTGAAAAATGAGCATCCAATGGTTTAAATGACTTTTTCATTTACAGATCCAGCATCCCTTCCATGTCTTTGGAGAACCTTAAACACATCATTACAAGAAAGAAGACATGGGATGGCCTCAGAGAAATAGGGCCCTAAACATCATAGAGCCAATGCAATAAACATTAAACACTTAATAGCAAACTTTTTAATTAAACAGAAAGGTTTTGACTGTTGACTGATATGTCAAAGCTCCTTTTCTTTTAAACTGATGCTCATTTGTCATATGACATAGGCATAGAAGCTACTTTAAATAAGGTACATTGAAAAAGATATCAAGTACAGCATTACTGATAATAGCAACAAAAAAAAAAAGAGAGAGAGGGGAAGAGAGAGAAAAGTGAAATGGAAATAAAATAAATCATGCTTATTTTTAAATTTTCTGAATATTTACAGAGCATCTACTATCAAGGCACCAAGCTTAACACTTGGGATATAATGTTAAAAACATAGACATGGCTCTGCCCTCACAGAGCTTCCATTCTATTATGGGAGACAGACACTCAAGTAATTACATTGTATATTTCATCCCAGCAGTTAAGACAATAATCAGTCCTAAATAATAAAAGAAAATAGTGAAATATTACGCAGACATTTTAAATGATGTCTAAGAGGTTTTATAATAGAAAATATTACAAGAATAGTTTAATAAAAGTAAGAAACAACTTTATAAAGTATATGATCTCATAAATATTTTTTTAAAAAGTATAGAAGGAAGATTCAATGGTTGTAAAATCCATCTGTAAGAATAGGTGAGAAAGGTTAAGAAGAATGATAAAAGGAACTTCTACTCCCAAAAAGGGAAACATACTTCCAAGCTACAATTAGTTCAACTAGAAATGGGGCAACAATCAGGTGTACAGGACAAACATCTACACATCTGTTTCTGGACCCATAGTTTAGAATATGGCTTTTTAAATGTTTTGAAAGTGGCATTTAAACCAGTGAGAATAAGAGGTAAACTAGGCATTAACTAGTAGGTCAACTATTTAGAAAAATAAGTAAACTTAGACTTTTACATCACATCACAAACTCCAAATGTAACGTATGAAAGTATAAATCCCACTGGTAAAGCTGGGAGAAAAAAAGAAATACATATATTTTATATAGTAATAATCCAAAATCATCATTAAATGACTAATTATCGTTTCCAAAAGAATCCCAAGCACATTGCAATGTTAAAATTTAGAAACCATTACATGAACTTTAGGAAACCACTAAGCTGATTTTGGGGTGGGCAGGCATTCTAAACATAAAAGGAAAATCATTTTAGAAAACTGAAAGACTTGACAATAGATGTTGAAAGTCAATTTCCATCCATGACATACATCTCACACCATAAATATAGTTATCACAAAATAAATATGGTTAAATGGTCAGGGAAAAAATTGTTTCCAATATACGGCAGCTAAAAGGTTAATATTCTTCATTTAGGGTATGCTCTTACAATCCGTGAGATGGAACCATCCCAATAAGAAATGTGCAAAGAACATGAATTTAACTGATGGAGAAATTTAAAAGACCAATAAATATATTTTAAATATTCAACCACATTAGCAATGAGGTTACATTTAAATGCTAGTTTAAGCCCTGTGGGGACTTCCCTGGTGGCGCAGTGGTTAAGAATCCGCCTGCCAATGCAGGGGACACAGGTTCAATCCCTGGTCTGGGAAGATCCCAGATGCTGCAGAGCAACTAAGCCCGTGCGCCACAACCACTGACCCTGTGCTCTAGAGCTTACGAGCCACAACTACTGAGCCCATGCGCCTAGAGCCCGTGCTCTGCAACAAGAGAAGCCACCGCAGTGAGACACCCGCGCACCGCAACGAAGAGTAGCCCCCGCTCGCCGCAGCCCGCGTGCAGCAATGAAGGCCCACCGTAGCCAAAAATAAAAATAAATAAAATAAATAAATTTATTTTAGGAACATATTAAAAAAAAAAAGAAAGACCTAAAGCAAATACACTAAAGCAAATACACTAAAAAGACCTAAAGCAAATACACTAAATTAACACAGGGGCAACTCTTTCTGCCTCTTTTATCTTCTCTATATTAAAAAAGGATAACTCTTTTAAAAAGACCTAGTGTGTTGACTGCCAAACGTTGTTGAAAGTTGACTGAAAGAAAGGAGGGATGGGGTGGAGAGAAGGTAGGTGGGGCAGTCAAAGGCCTTAGAGATGGGGGAGGGGGGAGGCGGGCACGCTGGGCCAGCAGCTGGGCCTCTGACCCCAGGATGGGCCAGGAACAAGAACCACCCCTGACCTCAGCTCTCTGTAAACCTCACCCAGTTTCTTCATGCTGCACTTAGGCAAGAGAGCAGAGGCCCAGAGGGGAAAACCACTGCTCCAAGATATACAGGTTGGTAGCGTTTGACCTTCTGTGAAAGAGAAAGGAAAATGGCCAAAGCCATTCCGCAAACAAGCACAGACACACAGAGGCATTCTTCCACACGGCCAGCTCACCTGCCGTCGGCGGTCACCAGCTTCAGCAAATGGAACACAGATCTCAGGGCCTGAGCTAGGCACCCGAGAGCCGACTGAGCTTGGCTTGGCGACCAGCTGAGGCCCCAGAGCCACCCACAGGGATAAGCATGCCCTTGCCCTGGCCACGTCCATAGGCCGACGCCAAGCCACCTGCTGATTCTGAGCTGGTCCCTGGCCCAGAAGCTGGCCAGTTGAGCTGTCAGAGGTAAGCCTGATGGTCAGGCTGGACTTCCGCCCCCGGCTGGCTCCCCAGATCAGGAAGCCAGAGTTCTGCAGAAAGGAGGCCGCCCGTGGAAGATAAACTGCAACCACACTGTCATCCCCTGCCCTTCCAGAAAGTACTGCATCCCCCTGCCCCTCGGCTCTGCTCACCTTAAACACAGGGGCAACTAATCCGCTGCATGCCAGGGCGTCTGAGGTGACCCAGAGGGGAAGGGCAATAAACACAGGCACACAGCATACAGAAACCACAAAAACACCATCGGTTAGGCCACTGGTCCACGGGTCCTGATAAAGGACCCATCAGAAATGGAACAGGCACTTCACACGCCTTCATCCTCTCAACCCTCACAAAATGACGCTTCTCATTTCACACGTGAACACACTGAGGCTCAGAGGAAAAGTCAAAGAGCTGGGAAGCACCGGGGCTGGAAAGCAAAGTCAAACGCCCGTGCCATTTCTCCCAGGACACGCTTGTCCCCATCGCCACAAAGGGCTCCTGCCTGGCACGTGTGGAATCCGGCCCCTGGGCTGCGTTAGGATGGGCCTTCCCATCACTGCCGGGTGCAGCTCCGGAAAGGGCAGCTGACCTTGTATACCAAAGGTGCTCAATCTACGTCCGGGAAAGGACACCGGCTGTGGTCCCAGCAAGTAGTAACTACCAGTATGGCTGCCAATCACTGAGCATCATCTGCTCCCTGGAGGGCCCATATGAGGGATGTGAACCTTCACTCATTTGGCCTGAGTGAAACATAGCTGATGTGTCCATTTCTCAGATGAAAACACTGAGGCTCAGAAGTCTCACGGCTAGGACACCAGAGCTCCTTTCCCGAACCCCAACTCTCCCACCCTGACAAGGTAACAGGCCCAAATGGGTCATTCAGGTCAACTCCCCACTCCTGGGCGGTCTCCCCAGCTCCCAGGCTCCACCCTGGCCTGGTGCTCCAGGACTACCTTGGTTGAGGTAGGTCAAAGTCTCCTCGTGCAGCTTCACAGCTGGGGACGTGGCGGCGCACAGCACATACTGCAGGGGTGGCAGACAGGCCTCGTTCTCGGGGGACAGCTGGGGCTCCTCCTGCTTGAAGATGGGCAGGGCGAGGACGTCGCTGCAACACAGGAGGGAGGGGTCAGGAGCAGGGTCCCCGGAGCCCATTCGAAAAGACAGGGCCAAGTGGCCAACCCTGGTGTCAAGGGCAACGCAGCCCAGCATGGTGCAGCAAGCGGGTTCAGCCTACCACACCACGTGTCACAGATCCTCTAAGATGCTTTCCAATGAGGGAGACCAATCCTGGATGATTCTACTTTCACGCCAAGACCTTCGAGAGATTTATTCAGATGCCGCCTGGTTGCCATCCACAAGAGTCTGGCTTTTAGAATAAGAGCCCGAACAAAATTTTTAATCTTTTTAAATAAACTCTTCCAGTTATTGGCCACTTCTCAGACCAAGACAATTTCCTGTCCTCCGGACTCTGTAAACCATGCAAATGGAGAAACTGCTTCACCCACCCAAACTGAGACAACCCTCCACCCTTCTAAAAAAAAAGGACAGCTGGCCCATAAGCCCTATTTTAAGGGTCATACTAATATCTCCTAAACGCAAAACAAGAAGGACCTTGGTTTCTGTTCAGTTTTCTTATCCAAATGGAAAATACTGAGATGCTCAAAGATTCTTTTCCTCCACCTCTAAACAAAAATCCCCATCAGATCCAAAAAATCAGCCTCACATCAGCCTAGGACTGGGTAACTTGTTTCTGGATGTATTTCTTAAGTGCCTTCCCAAGGAAAATAGAAATCCTTGAGAACATGAAGGACCTGAAAGCAGGAGAGACTTGGTTAAGCTCTCTGGATTATGAACAGATTATGGCACGGACACCCATGCCAAAAAAGTGCCCGTGCCCTTATCTTAATAACCCTCTACCCTCGGAGCATCCTGGGTTCTGAATCAGATTCACTGACCCCACTTCACTATATCAACAGCAGAGTCACTGGTATAATCTGCTCCTCATACAGCACCACAAACGAGTAGCTCTAAAACACAGACCCGGCACACACCCCAACATGTCGCAACAACTCTCAGAAGGAAAAGTCTGGCTTGGGGCTCACGTGGAAAACCTCCCCTGTGGGGGGCCACCCCTGCCACCATCCATGGCCCTGGCTCTCCCACCCCACACCTTCCTTTGCCCGGACCGGGGCACACTCCCAGCCCAAGAGGTTATCTAGGAACAGGGGAGAAGCAGGCAGGCGTGCTCCCCGGGCGATTGCATAATTTTGTGTTTGCCCAGACCACGTTAAGTTAATAATCCATGGGCTGGTGCCTTTAAATTTAAAAAAAGGGAGGGATGCAGGGGAGGAGGGTGGGTAAGAGCCATCACTCAACAGTAACTTGTTTCAAGCCTGGCATCCTTATTTGCTGAGGAATAAAGTCACCAGGACATGAAACAGAAGGAGGGAAGAAGGGAGTACAGGCCACTACCTGGGAAGGTGAGACAACTTGCAGAGGTGCCGCTCAGTGAGGAGAGGACCAAAAAGAAAATGCACAAACTAAACAAAAGGACAAGACCTTCGCTCTAGAGCCAGGGGGACCAGAGGCATATTCACTGACCCTCACCTTGGCGTTCACCAAGGTCAACCTCTCCAAGGGTGAACACCCCAGCTTCCAAGAAGTGAAATTAAAATAGAGTGTGGGGACCTCCCTGGCTGTCCAGTGGTTAGGACTCCGCACTTCCACTGCAGGGGGCGTGGGTTCAATCCCTGGTCGGGGATCCCGCATGCTGCTAGGCGCGGCCAAAAAAAAAAAAAAAGAGTGTGGACCAACATGCTTTTTAATCCATGCTCCCCAAACGACCCCAGAAGCCCATATGGCTTTATGGCACCTTTCACCCCAACTCTCACCACGCTGAATGCAATACCAAACTCCTAAAAGGTACTCCCCAAAATCCCATCTCCAGAGCAGGGGCACCTCCCGCCCAAGAGGAGAATTATTCCCTAAAAGGATGACATTTTCTGTATCCAGGAAGTTTTAAATACACTCACTTCTCCACTCAGGGTCACCTCCAAACTTATTTCTAATCTATGGCAACATACCGAATGGCCACAAACTATAAAATTCAGGCAAAATCACACCTAAAACTGCATGGTGCGGTACAATAAATGTATCCCATTGTAGCATTTCAAGTAAGCGAATAGACACAGCCTTCTGCCAGGGATTAACATCTGCCCAGTAGGGGACTTGCCTGGCGGTCCAGTGGTTAGGACTCCACTGCAGGGGGCACGGGGAAGTAAGATCCCCGCGAGCCGCAAAGCATGGCCAAAAAAAAAAAAAAATCTTCCCGGTGGGCTTAACATCCCCCAGGGCAGTCTCCCTCTGGTGACATCACCATGGTCTGCAGAGAAGCCATCAGTCCTTAATTAAGACCCTAGACTTTTGCCATCCCCTACCACTCTGGCCCATGATAAAACACAGCAGACACATTACATAAACCCAATCACTCCTTTGCCTCCTGAAATGGGGATGCCTTCGGGGACGACTACTGGACAAATATCTATCAAAAGCCAGGATTTCCAAATCACCTGTACTGCTAAATCTGACTTGAAACTTCTAGGGACCAAAAATAAAAATAAAATGAAGCATGCAGGACGGGCTCTCACTGTGGGGCAGTCTGTACCAGCGACTTCCCACCTAGGTCCCACAATTCACTTTCTCTGAGCTCACACCAAATGCCCTTTGGGTTAAATTAGGCACATTTCATAAACTGTGACTAGGATGGAAATAAAGACAGGCTACAGCTGGTTCAGGCGAGTTCAGAAAGTGAAATGACCGCCCATTAGTACCCGGCCAGCTGCACAACAGGGAAAAACAATCCTCCAGGAACTGAAGCTAACGGAGGTGCCACTTCCTTCAAGGGGACAGGGGAGAAAACTTTGCAAGACAGGCAGGACTTACTTTTCCCTTTGAAGAGCACTAGTCAAATCCCTGCAGAAGAAGAAAGATTTCCATCAAGGGCAATCAATGTGCGGGCCTCGGGCCTACACACGCAAGACCACCTGGTGGGAGGGGGGACCCTGTCCCTCCCAAGCCCCCGCCCGCCCCCGCCGGCCCGCGAGGCCCAGCGCAGGGCCGCGCTCGCCGCTCACTCGCCCCTCGGCCGGAGCAAGGACACTGGAGAGGACGCGAGGCTCGGAGAGGAACCGGGCGGAGAGGGGCAAAGAGCAGGGAACTAGAATCCCCGGGACAGGCTCCAGACTGACGGCAGGAAGTTTCCTCTTCTCCGACGCGAGCGGGGAGAGGAGAGACAGGGAGGCGGACGGCCCCGGAGAGGCTGCGGCCAGAGATGCGCGCTCTGCGCCCGCCGGGGTCGTCGGGGAAGCAGCCTCCGCGGGCACCAGGCTCCGCAAACCCGCCTCCCGGGGGGGTCCCCAACTCTGAGCGTCGGCTCCCGCTGGGGTCGGTCCGTCGGTCCCAGGCGGGACTCTGGGCGGGTCTCTCTCAGTCCCCCAAGGGCAGACAGCGGGGAGGCGGGGGCGCAGCGGGGGCGCTCGGGACCCCTGGCCCGGCCGCCCCGCTCCCGGCCCGCAGACCCCGGCCCAAGCCCCTTACCGCAGGTAGCTGCCGGAGTTGTGCTGGTTGTAGTGCTCGGGCTGCGTGTGCCAGAACAGCATGGCTGGGGCTCCGAGCCCGGCCCGACCCAGGCGCGCGGCGGACGGGACGCGGGGCGCGCCGACCTCTCTCAGTCACCTGCCAGCAGCACTCCCAACCGCTGGGTCCGCCCGCCCCCGCGCATTTATGGACTGCCCTTGGGGCGGGGCCTCAGCCGGATCCGCCCCCAGGCCGCGCGGCCGGGAGATGGCTCCAGCGGCCGCCTCACCTGGTGACCCGCACGGGCGCGTCCTCCCCGGGAGCGAGCGCGCCTCCAGGGCGGCGACCGCGAGCGGGCGGCGCGGCCGCGGGCGGGGGCTGAGGCCCGGGCTCCATCCCGGCCCCCGGGGCGGGGCCCAGGTAACCATCACCGCAGCCCCGGTGTCACCGACGCGCCTCCTCCGCGCGCCCATTCGCGCGGCCCCAGGGCGGGTGCCCAGGGCGGATCCCCAGAGCGGTACCGCGGTTGGGGAGAGGCCGCTGTGAGCTTGGATGTCAGGGACCCCGACCTTGCTCTGCCTGCCCCCTTACCTTGCTCTTGCTTTTTCATAGCACTGTGACACTCTCAGAAATCGTATTTTGTTTTGTTGTTTAATGTATGCTTGTGTATGGATTGTCTGTCTCCAAGAGGGCAAGGCTGTGGACTCTCTAATTCACTGTTTTATCCCCACCGCCTAGAAGAGTGCTTGGGACATAGTGAGTGCTCAATAAATGTTAGCTGAATAAATATTTTTAAAAAGAAATGCATCAAGTGAGTAATCAGAGAAGGCTTCCTGGAGGACGCGACCTTGAGCTGAGGCCTTATAGATTCAGAGGAAATGCCTGTGTGAATATCCGGAGGGAAAGTGGTTCCAGGCAGGGCAACAGTAAGCAAGGCCCTGCGGCTGACCTACTTTGGCGTGGCCTGGGGCTGGGTGACCCAGGGGAGAGCTTAGGAGGTGAGGTGGGCACAGTGAGTGGGGCAGATCAAAGAGGGCCTGGCAGGCCCTGGCAAAGAAGCAGCTGGGCTTTTATTCTAAGTGTGTTTTCAGCAGAGGAGTTGCATGTATGATCTGCCTTTTGGAAGGATCAGTCTGGAAGGAGTGTGGGCAGTGGGTCATGGGGGTGGGGCAGTTAGGACGGAGTGGAGGTCAAAGCGCCATGACCCACACCCGAGTGACATTCACACCCCACCCCGTCCCCAGGTTGGTCCAGCGGCTGGCGCAGAAGAGCTGCGCGTTCTATCCCAGACTGGTATTCAGAGCAAATGACGTCCCCCGGAGACCGCAGCCCAGAACTCCCAGCTCCCCCAAGCATGGGGGTGAGTCAAAGCCTCCCTCACTCTGCTCTCTAGGTCTCCCCCGCCCCACTGCAGCCGCTGGTCACAACTGGCAACCCACTTCCTCTGGGCAGCTCTGAGGGCCCACCACCTCCCCACTGCTCTCCTGCCACTCAGATCCCCCTTCACGGATGGATTTGTTGCACCAGCCACAGGCAGGACTACAAACAGGCAGCCCACAGCCTTCCGCCCCAGGGACTCTGTGGCTGAGAGCCTCCTTGCCCAAGGTAACCCCCTGTTGGGGTGACCCCAATGACTACCCACACAAAATATCAAAGTCTGGCCATCTCAGCTGATGGGCTATTGTAGGCTTAGGATCCCCCGTGGGGCCAGTCAGAGCTGTCACGGGACCTTCTTCATACACTCCTGTTTCCTTCCCATCCCTTGCATGGGTGTTAATTTCAAGGGAACCTCCAAATAAACATCCTTAACACTAAGCTCCGTCTGAGGGTCCATGACAAGTCCGGTGTTCATGTGGGAGGCGCTCTGAGGTGGTGTAGAAACAGCGTGCCCTTTTCTGGATTCCCTCACTGGGCAGATACCCCCAGAGCACC